CCGAAGCTTTTCAAGAGATCAGCTCGTGTGAGGGTTGAGTGGGACGTAAGATTTAAGATTTGGCTCAATCATTTTATTATTGATTGAATTACTGCTGCTGCATGGTTTCAAATGCCATTAACCTGTGCGATTTCATCGGAACTGGAGTCTTCTTTAAAATCTAATTGAGTACGATGTATATTAATACACAGTACAGTCTTACCACTCATCAAACGTATTAATGTAATGATTACAATCTGTGTCATATTTAGTTTTATGATTAAGAATCTAATATTACGGCCCATGCTGGGAGCCCCACGGCGACCTGACGAATCCCTGTCCTTGGCCGAGCTGGGTTTTCCTGCTGCCCGTTTCGCCGGCCAGTTCCCAAGCTCATTTCCAAGCGATTCACCCCCGACGTCTGCGGCTCTGGGTCGCGGGGGCGTCAGGTGGCCATTCAGGGCCGGGAGATGTTAAGATTCGGTGGCCAGGAAATGCCGCGTTCGTTGCTCCTTGGCCTCCGTGTCGCTCAGCGAGAAATCGGAACCCGCCCCCCCCGGCCAGCCAGGCCTCCGGCGCCTCCTCCCGCCCGGCCCAGCCCCGGCCGCGTGTCTCCGGGACAGGGGGGAATGTGCCTGAGGTCAAGGCACGGTGGCGATTGGTGCTGCCCCCAGGGTTGGGCTGCACAGACAGGGACGCAGACAGACGGACGCCCCCAAATCCCAGGTCTCTTCTCCCCTTGCCCCCTCCAGGGAGGCTACAACCTGGTGTCTATCTCCGAATCCATGACCATGTGCACCCGGACCCTGCTGGGGGACCCCCTGCCTGAGCTGGGGCACCTGCAAGCTCCCCACCCCAGTGCCCTGCAGTCGCTGGCCCGGGCGAGCGCCGTGCACCGCAAATACTGGACCTGCCTGCGGCTGGATGGTAAGTGCGGCCCCCCCGGCCGAGCCCCTGCCCCACAGCGCGGCTCCCCTTCCCAGCCCCCTGCCACGTGTTGCCATGCTACGTAATCTCCATCTCTTGCAGTGCCGATCCAGCAGGACTCGAGGCCCCAATCCGAGCAGCCGGGCCCCATCCATGAGGACTCCCCACCAGAGGCCCCCTCGGGGGGCTCCCAGAGCCCCCCCCGTCTCCGAGGGCTCCGTCGATGACATCCTGAGGCTCGGAGCCCTCTGCCTCAGCGGTGAGGTGGAGACCGACTCGGGCTCCCCCCAGCTGAGCCCTGACTCCGCCCTGGTGGGCGGGGCTTCCCCTGGAGAGGCGGAACCTCCAGCTGCAGAGGAGTCAGAGGTAGGGTGGGGGGGAGGGAGGTTCTGGGGGGGCGTCTATCCCATGGGGTCAGGGAGGGGATCTATTATTGGGGGGTTGGTTTGCACTGGATTCCCTGGGCTGGGGGATGGGAGTAGCCTGGGGTGGAGGTGGGGGGCGGTCTCAGCTCATGGGTCTTTTCTCTCCCAGGACCCCCCCAGCCTCCTGGACGAAGCAGCCGCCCTGCTCCCCACCCCCTCTGTCAGCCTGGGGGTGGAGTTCGCAGACACGGTGAGGCCCTGACGCCCCCCCCAACCCTGTTCCTTAATCCTTGGGGCCGCCCACCCCATCCTTGGCATCTCCCATCCCCCGGATGGGCCCCTCACCTGCGCCCCCTCACCCTTCTCGCCTGATTCTCTGCTTCCCTCTACCCCCTACACCTCATTTCCCAGCCTACCTCTCTGCCCCCCCCCCCGCCCACTGGGCTCACATGGGGCAGCAGCCCAGAACTGGGTGCACCCATTTCCCAGCTGCTACACTAGGGGCCAGGACGCCTGGGTTCTCTCCCGGCTCTGGGAGGGCAGTGGGGTCTGGTGGGTTAGAGCCGGGGCGGGAGCTGGGAGCCTGGACTCCTGGGTTCGATCCTTGTCTCCCTCGTGTCTCTGCAGGGGACGCTCTACGCCGTGACCCCCCTGCCCTGGTGCCCCCACCTGGACTCGCTCCAGCCCCTTCCCCCGGCCGGGCTGGACGTGCTGGCGCCATGTGAGGAATGCGGCAGCCGGGGCGAGAACTGGGTCTGCCTGGCCTGTTACCAGGTGAGACGGCGCCCCCCAGCCCCTGCCAGCCCAGCCCTGCCGGTGCCCCCGCCCTCGACCCCCAGCCCTCCCGGTGCCCCCAAATCCCGACCCGCAGCCCCTGCCAGCCCAGCCCTCCCGGTGCCCCCCACTCCCGACCCGCAGCCCCCGCCCCACAGCCCTCCCGGTGCCCCCCGACCCCCAGCCCCTGCCAGCCCAGCCCTGCCGGTGCCCCCCACTCCCGACCCACAGCCCTCCCAGTGTCCCCCGCCCCCGCCCCACAGCCGGTGCCCCCCGCCCCGCAGCCCTCCCGGTGCCCCCAAATCCTGACCCACAGCCCCCGCCCCACAGCCCTGCCGGTGCCCCCCGCCCCCGCCCCCACAGCCCCTGCCAGCCCATCCCTGGGCCCCCCAGCCCTGCCGGTGCCCCCCAATCCTGACCCACAGCCCCTGCCAGCCCAGCCCTGGGCCCCCCAGCCCTCCCGGTGCCCCCAAATCCCGACCCGCAGCCTCTGCCAGCCCAGCCCTGCCGGTGCCCCCAGCCCCTGCCAGCCTGGCCCTAAACCCCGCCCCAGCCCTGCCGGGCCCCCCACTCCCGACTCGCAGCCCCTGCCAGCCCGGCCCTGCCCCCCACTCCCGACCCGCAGCCCCTGAAGCCGTTAACCCTTTCTCTCCCCAGGTGCTCTGCGGGCGTTACATCAATCAGCACATGCTGGCTCATGGCTCCCTTTCCGGCCACCCCCTGGTGCTGAGTTACGCGGACCTGTCGGTCTGGTGCTACGCCTGTCAATCATACGTCCATCACCCAGTAAGCCATGCCTCCCTTCATGGTCACATGACACAGCCCCCCTTCCCACCGCCCGCAGGTCGGGGTTCCCCCTCTATCCCTGTCTATATGAAGGCTGGGGGCAGGTGTCAGATGCGGGGGGGTTGCTGATTGGCGGGGGCTGAATGGGTTAATTCTTGGGGCTGGGACGTTCCTCCCCCTGCCTTTGTTGCCATAATGGAGCATCCCAACTTGGGGAATAATGCTCCCCTGTCCCATTCCTATAATGGAACATTCCCGCAGTGAGCAAGTCACACACACCTGTCCCACCTCCACCCCTGCTGTAATGGAATATTCCAGCCCCTGGGGTGGGATGATCCATTGTGGTGTGGGGGGAGTATACTTGGCATTGGACCATTCCATTCTCTGGGGAGGGTAGGACATTCCATTATAGCTGGGCTGGGTCTCTTGGTCACCAGGTCACTGGTCGCTAGGGAACCCCATCTCCAGGCCATTGGCCGGATCCATTCTCTGCTGACAGCGTGGGGGGGTTTACAGCTGGGCTGATCCATTCTCCCTGGCCTTGTCATGCCTTAGGGTGGGATATACTATTATGGGTGGGGGGGAATTAGTTCCTGGGGCAGCACATTCTCCATATCGTTGGGGGGGGGTGGGCATGGACTGCTCCATTCTCTCCAGCGAGGGGGGGGCCATGGGCGTAGGCAATTTCATTGTCCAGGGCGGAGGGGCGGGGCGGGGCGGCTGGCCTGGCCATCTCATCCTGACCTCCGTTCTCTCCCTGCCCCAGACCCTGCTGCCAGCCAAGGCCCTGGCTCACCGCATGAAGTTCGGGGCGGATCCGGCCGCTGGGCTCTGAGCCCTGTGCCACAGGAAGGGGGGGATGTTCAAATCCCCCCCCTCCCCCAATGATGGACGAAAGACGTGCCAAACAACTCACCAGCAGTAAGGAGGGACTCTCCCCCCCCCCATGTATCCACTGGGGGGTCGGTCCCACTGCATCCACTGGGGATGGCCATCCCCAACCACCAGCACCCCTCACATCCTTAAGGCCTCCTTGATCCCCACCCCCCAGCAGGCCGTGAGGATTACAGATATGCAGGGGGGGTCGTCCATTTCTGTTTAACCCCCCCCCCCAATAAACCTGTGACCAGCTCTATGAACATCCCCTGGGTTCTCAGGAGCCGTTTCTCCCCCCGAGGGGGGTGGGGGCTGCAGACTCTGTGGATCAGTGCAAATGGCCCCCTCCCTGCGAAGGGGGTGAAGATAAAGGCTCCTTTATAAACCCAGACTCCATATGGCCGGCGGGGCGAGAGGAACACGGCCCTCTGTTTTTGTTAGTGTAGGACCTACAGTAAGTGGGCTGGGGGCCAGAATCCATGGTCGCCGTGTGATGTGGGAGATCTCCCCTGCGTGGGATGGGACATGGGCCTTTCCCCTCACTGGGGCACCTACCCCGGGCAGGCGCCAGGCCCTCGCTGTCTTTGCTTTTCAGGTTGATTATTGCAATACAAGGTTAACGATGCAGGTGCCGTTGTCCCCCCTTTAATTTGCCACTCGCCTGTGCACTATGCCCTGTGGAGCACCCATCAGCCAGGGGGCACCCCCTAGCCCCCTCACCACCAGAAAGGTGCCATCTCGTCCCATTCATCTGCTGCCAGAGTGGGACAGGGTCCTACAGGCGTCACCCCCAGAGTAGCTCCCCAAACCCACCGGTGTTTAACTAGGAAACGCTTTTAAGAGCTTACAGGGGGCAGCTCAGAGTTGCTGACAAAGGGAAAATCACAAGCTCATTCCTAACCTTCACCACCCCAGTAATTCTAGCAGCGAACGGATTTCCTGCCCCTAACCCTTCATGGCACTTCTGGCTAATGAGAATGCTGTCTCGTTAGGCCCAGCCCCTCCCATAGGCTCCTGATGGATTTCTTTATCTTCCCCGTGCTCTTGTTCCATTGTGCAAGGGAGGCGAGGCAGGTGATCTCACCGGCTGTGGGGCACAGGAGATATTTAGCATCTCTCAAAATCCTCCAGGGCTGACATGTGGGACTTTTGCTCACAGTCCTGTTGTTATGGCTAAGGGGTTAGTCTGCAGATGTTTCCTAAATTCACAATGTGTTTCAGTAACAAACATAAAGCAAAATCTCCTGCCTCCCTATCCGATGTTGATACACACATTGTAACAGGACAATAATGTTCAGCAGATTGTGGCTTTTCAAATGATACCTCACAAGGTATACTTTGTACAAAATATCGTAGCCATTACAAGCGGTGAACATGGGGGGGTACAGTGTCTCCCCATGGGACTGAGGCTGGGGTGTGTCTGTGCCACTAGAAGGGAGCAGTAGTAGAAGATAAAAGCCAGGCTGTTCCCCTCCAGGCAGTGGGGTGAGAAACCAGAGGGTCTGGTTTCAATCCTGGGCTGTTTCAAACTGAGCTGCATCTCAGCGCAGAGCAGCGTGATGCCCAGCCAGCCCGCCCCAGAGGTGGCTGCATCTCCGCGGGAGGGGAGGTGGATCTCAGAGCTGGAGTTGAGTGTTCCCACGGCTAGAAGTCCATGAACAGCTGCCCCCTCTGCGGCTCCGGCCTCGGGCCCAGCGCGGGGGGCTCAGAAGTCGTCGTCGTCGCAGATGTCCAGGTAGACGTCAAAGGCCTCCCGGTTGCAGTTGCCGTCGGGCGTGAAGACGTATTTGTGGAAGGTGCCATCCACGCAGATCGCTGGGGAGCGGGGGGACACGGGCGTTAGAGGGGGGTGAGGAGAGACCCCTGCCCCCCCACTCTGCCCCCCACTGACCGATGACGGAGTTGACGGTCTTGGCGGAGCTGCGGCCGAAGGCACAGACGCAGGCCGACTCCGCCGGCACCGTGAAGCTGGCCAGGCTCCACTGCGAGTCCACGTACTGGCCGATCACCGGGCCCACCTTGCCCACGCGCGCCAGCCTGGGGAGAGACGCGTCAGGGGGCACCCACACAGAGCAGTGGTTAAGGGGCCCGGGGGGGCACCGAGGCAGGGTATGTGTGCAGAGGGGTGGTTTAGGTGCAGGGGGGGAAACACAGGGGGGTACCTACCAGGAGCAGTGGTTGAGGTGTGGTGGGGGTCCCTGGGGGGGGGTACCTATGCGGAGCAGCAGTTGAGGGGGAGTGCAGGGCCCCAGGTGGGTACCTGAGCTCTGGGGCAAGGCGGGGGGGACCTACGCAGAGCAATGGTTGGGGGGCCCCAGGGCGTACCTAGGTGGGGGGGCGCTATGCGGAGTGGCTGTTGAGATGCGGTGGGGGGGCTCCGGGGGGTACCCACGCGGAGCGGCGGTTGAGATGCGGTGGGGGGGCCCCAGGCGGGGTGGGGGGGTTCCGGGGGGGGACCTACGCGGAGCGGCGGTTGAGATGCGGTGGGGGGGCCCCAGGGGGTACCCAGGCGCGGTGGGGGGGTCCGGGGGGACCTATGCGGAGCGGCGGTTGAGATGCGGTGGGGGGGCCCCAGGGGGTACCCAGGCGCGGTGGGGGGGCTCCGGGGGGGACCTACGCGGAGCGGCGGTTGAGGCGTGTGTCCTTCAGGGCGAAGACGTGAACGGTCCCCTTGTCACTCGACGCGCAAAGAAACGACGAGTCGTGGCTGAAGTTGATGCTGTGGAGATCGGGGGGGGGGGGGTTACCCAGCGCCACAAGCTCCCCCTGGCAGTGCCCCCCCCAGGAGGGACCGTGCCCGGGGCACTCACCAGTACAGCGCAGGGGGGTCCGTGCCCAGGGGGCTCTGTGCCAAGGGGGGCCGTGCCCGGGGGGGCCCTGCCCGGGGCACTCACCAGTACAGCGTGGGGGGGTCCGTGCCCAGGGGGGTCCATGCCCGGGGGGGCCCTGCCCGGGGCACTCACCAGTACAGCGTGGCAGGGTCCGTGCCCGGGGGGCTCTGTGCCCAGGGGGGTCCGTGCCCGGGGGGGCCCTGCCCGGGGCACTCACCAGTACAGCGTGGCAGGGTCCGTGCCCGGGGGGCTCTGTGCCCAGGGGGGTCCGTGCCCGGGGGGGCCCTGCCCGGGGCACTCACCAGTACAGCATGGGGGGGTCCGTGCCCGGGGAGCTCTGTGCCCAGGGGGGTCCATGCCCGGGGGGGCCCTGCCCGGGGCACTCACCAGTACAGCGTGGCAGGGTCCGTGCCCAGGGGGGTCCTGCCCGGGGCACTCACCAGTACAGCGTGGGGGGGCCCTGCCCGGGGGGGCCCTGCCCGGGGCACTCACCAGTACAGCGTGGGGGGGCCCTGCCCGGGGGGGCCCTGCCCGGGGCACTCACCAGTACAGCGTGGCAGGGTCCGTGCCCCGGCGCAGCTCCACGAGCTTCTCCTTGCTCTGGGTGTCGAAGAGGCGGATCAGGGTGCCCTGGCGGGAGGCCGATGCCACCACGGTGCCCGGCTGGTTGAGGGAGACGCAGGCGATCTCGCCCTGGTGGGCATTGATGGTGAACGGTGCCGACGAGGTGCCCGGCTGGGTGCTCGACAGGTCCTGGGGGGGTGGGGTGGGGCTGAGACCAGGCTGCCCCGGAGAGCCCAGCCCCCCCCCCCCCCACAGCCACACAGTGACCCCCCCTCCCGTGACCACAGACACCCCATGTTACCCCTCGCCTCTGCGGGAAATGGATCACCCCCCCCGACCCATCTCTGTCCCCCCCCATGAATCCCATCCCTCCCCCAGCACCTCCCTGCTCCCCTCCGTGCCCCCCCACGAACCCCCCCCCCACTCACCACCAGCTGCAGGCTGCCACATTTGTGCCCAGGAAACACCAGCAGCTGTTTCTCCAGACTGGGGCAGAGATCGCAGAGCCCTGGGGGATAGAGCAGGAGGCTGGGGGGCGCCGCGCTGGGGGGAGCGGGGCGGGGGCTGCTGTCCTGAGGGGCGCAGGGGGGGCACCATGCTGGGGGGGGTCTGTACCTTTGGGGTTGTCCCGTGTGTCGAACTCAAAGAGCTTGGTGGGGTTCTCCGGGAAGGAATAAACGTAAATACGGTTCCTCAGAACAATGATGATCCTGAAACACAAAGAGCCCGGACTCCTGGGTTCTCTCTTGGCTCGGGGAGGGGAAGGGAGGGAGGGGTCTAGTGGTTAGAGTAGGGGGCTGGACTGGGAGCCAGGATTCCTGGGTCCTGTCCCTGCTTTGGGAGGGGAGTGGGGTCTAGTGGTTAGAGCAGAGGGCTGGGAGCCAGGACTCCTGGGTTCTCTCCCCAGCTCCGGGAGGGAAGTGGGGGCTAGAGATTCGAGGGCGGGGGCTGGGAGCCCGGACGCCTGGGGTCACACTCACTTGTCGTGTCTCATGCGCACAGCCAGGGCGGGTTTGGTGAAGGTGAATTCCAGAACCAGCTTGTCTTTGCCACCCTTCCCCTCGCGGGCGTCGTCCCAAATCAGCACTGCCAGGGGGGTGACATGGGTGAGAGCAGACAGTGCTACCCCCACAGCCCCCCCCACTCCCCTCCCAGAGCTGGGGGGAGAACCCAGGAGTCCTAGCTCCCAGCCCCCCCCGGGGTACATACCTGAGATCTCTGAGAATTTGGGGTTCCCTCCTCCCCCCACAATGGCCAAGAGGTTGGATCGATGCAGCATCTCGACCAGGGCCACGCTGCCCACCTGCTCGTGATCTGGGGGGGTAGAAAATCGGGGTGGAGTCCAATGCCACTTCCCCGCTCCGAGCCAGCCAGCCCCCATTCCCTGCCCTCCCTACCAGTCCCCCCCTTACCCAGGTGCCCTTTCTCCATGAGCGGCTCCACATTGTAGATTCGCACCCCGGACTCCATCGCGCAGCAGAAGCAGCCTGGAACGAGGGGCAGAGAGCGGGTTAAACCCCAGCCCGCCGCAGGGGAAGGGGCTTCCCGGACTCCTGGGTTCTCTGCCTGGCTCTGGGAGGGGAGTGGGCTCTGGTGCTAAGAGCAGGGGAGGGGGCAGGGAGCCCGGATTCTCCCCCTGGCTCTGGGAGGGGAGTGGGGTCTGGTGGTTAGAGCAGGGGAGGGGGCAGGGAGCCAGGACGCCTGGGTTCTCTCCCTGGCTCTGGGAGGGGAGTGGGCTCTGGTGCTAAGAGCGGGGGAGGGGCAGGGAGCCCGGACGCCTGGGTTCTCTCCCTGGCTCTGGGAGGGGAGCTGGCTCTGGTGCTAAGAGCAGGGGAGGGGCAGGGAGCCCGGACGCCTGGGTTCTCCCCACAGGGCACGGAGGCGGGGTTCAGGGGGTGCCGCTTACTCTGGTCCTGGTTGAAGCACAGACTGTTCACCCCGCGTTGCTGCGCCATGCTGCAGGACCAGCGGATCTGGGGGGCCCCTTCCCGGATCCCAGCAACAGGCAGCTGAGGAGTGGGGTGAGGGGCAGGGGGTAAGAGAGTCTGAGGCTACGCTCCAGCCCCCCATCTCCACGTGCCCCTTTCACCCCCATGCCCAGCTGTCTGCCCCCACCCAACTGCCCTGTCACTGTCTCCGGCAACCCCACTGCCCCCGCTCTTCCCCCAGGATCGTCCTGCCCCCCCAATAATCCCTGTGTCTGCCCCAGCCAGAGTCTGCTGCCCCCCAGCCACTGTCCTGCACATACACAGCCCCACGGCCTCCCACATCCCCTGGCCCCACTGCGCCCCAGCACCCTGCCCCCGAGCCCCTCCCTGGGCCCCCACCTCCACCACGACGTTTCATTCTGGGTGCCCCCTGCCCCACAGCATTCACCTTGCCCCCCCCGCCAATCGCTGCCCCTTCCCCCTGCGGCATCCCCCAGCCCCCATATCCATCTCCCCAGCCCCGCTGACCCCCCAGCCACAACCTCCCAGCCCAGCCCCACCTGCCCCACTGCCCCCCACGAGCCCAGCCCCCCAGCCCCACCTCCCCACTTTCCCCCTTGAGCCCAGCCCCCCATCCCCACCTCCCCCCATGAGCCCAGCCTCCAACCCCACCTCCCCACTGCCCCACTTCCCCCCACGAGCCCAGCCCCCCAGCCTCACCTCCCCACTTCCCCCCTCGAGCCCAGCCCTCCAGCCCCACCTCCCCACTTCCCCCCACGAGCCCAGCCCCCAACCCCACTTCCCCCCTCGAGCCCAGCCCCCAACCCCACCTCTCCACTGCCCCACTTCCCCCCACGAGCCCAGCCCCCCAGCCCCACCTCCCCACTTCCCCCCTCGAGCCCAGCCCCCCAGCCCCACCTCTCCACTGACCAACTTCCCCCCTCGAGCCCAGCCCCCCAGCCCCACTTCCCCACTGCCCCCCACGAGGCCAACCCCCTAGGCCCAGCCCCCTAGCCCCACCTCCCAACCTCCCCACTGCCCCCACGAGCCGAGCCGAGCCCAGCCCAGCCCCACTTGCCCCACTTCCTCCCACGAGCCCAGGCCCTGGTTACCCCGCAGAAAGCGGGCGGGCGGCAAACACCAGCTGATCTGGTTCCGCCGGGTCACACAGGGGAAGAGCCGCTGACAGCTCATCACGTGATCAACTTGGACGATGGGTGAAGCCATAGCGGCCATGTTGGACATTGGCAAGGGAGCTGTGTTGCCCTTAGTAACGCCCGTTGGCAGCCATCTTGGATACTGGCAAATAGCCAAACATGCCCTCTCCCCCCCCCCGGCAAGGGACTCCTGGGTTCTCTCCCTGGCTCTGGGAGGGGAGCGGGGTCTGGTGGTTAGAGCGGGGGGGGGGGGGGGCTGGGAGCCAGGACTCCTGGGTTCTCTCCCTGGCTCTGGGAGGGGAGCGGGGTCTGGTGGTTAGAGCGGGGGGGGGGGGGGGGCTGGGAGCCAGGACTCCTGGGTTCTCTCCCTGGCTCTGGGAGGGGAGTGGGGTCTGGTGGTTAGAGCGGGGGGGGGGGGGCTGGGAGCCAGGACTCCTGGGTTCTCTCCCTGGCTCTGGGAGGGGAGCGGGGTCTGGTGGTTAGAGCAGGGGGCTTGTCTCCTTGTCTCCTGCAGTCTATGCCTGTGCTCCCCCCCCCAGCGCACCCTGGCGTCTCTCCTCCCTGCCTCCCCAACACACCTGTGAGAGGGGTGGTGAAAGGGGAGGAGCCAATAGAAGTACCTGTGCTGGGGGTGGGGCTTCAGGGGCACCTGGGGGACACTGGGCTGGTGGGGGCTTTGTGTCTGATGGGGGCTGGGGGAGTGTGTTACACAGCAGAGGAGGGAGGAGGCCCCAGGAGCTGGGCAATGCTATGACTTTCCGAATCCCAAGCCCCTCCTCCCAGAGCCGGGGAGAGAACCCAGGAGTCCTGGCTCCCAGCCCCCCTGTTCTAACCCACCAGCCCCACCGATTCTCCCATGCCAGGTGTAATATTAGCTGTGACCTTTCCAGAGGGGCACATGGGTCTGTTTGGAACAGCTCCCTGGTTTGTTTTGCTTCCACTGAGTCGATGTGGAGCTGACCGAGCCCTCCTAACAACCCCCCAACCCACCCACCCCCGACCCCCATGCTTCAGGATCCTGACTCCCAAGGCCCCCCTTCTCCAACCCACTTGACCCCCTGAGCCATGGAGCAAAAGCCCACTAAGATACCAGGTAAGGGAGCAAAGACCTTCACAAAATACACTTGCCCCGAGTTGGGTCTAGTGGTTTGGGGGCGGACAGGCTGGGAGCCAGGACTCCTGGGTTCTCTCCTTGGCTCTGGGAGGGGAGTGGGGTCTGGTGGTTAGAGCAGGCAAAGCCTGTTTTTTTTAATGCATCCAGCCACATCATTGGCATTAGGCCTGCTTGCCTGTCCCCTAGACAGGGAGAATTCCAAGAGACCCCCTGCAATTTCCCCCTTGCGGGGGTCCTCTGCTGGGCTCCAGCCCCTCCCCAACGTCCCCCAGTCCGCTCTGCTCTTGGGGTGACGGCGCTGGAAGATTTACGCTTGGCGTTGGCCTGCCAGGGCCCCAGATTGGCAGGCGATTCGGAGAGCCTGGGGAAAGCAACCCCTGCCCCATTCTGCACTGGGCGGGGGAATGTCCTCCCTGACCTCCAGCCTCCCTCTGTGAGGGGCATCGGCCTTTGGCCCTGAGCCTGGCACGCTGGTCGGGCTCCTGGGCACGCGGATGATCAGCACGGGAAGTAGGGGGATTGGAGCCAGTGCACAGGGGACCCACTGTCTGGACAGGCACAGAGTCAGAGCTATGGGCCTGCTGGCTCAGGGGGGCTGGGAATGGGGCACAGGGCCTGTCCACTCTGGGGGACGCCAGCTCCCATCGCGCCCCAGGGCAGGGACTGGCTGGCTCAGGGGGCGGTGATTGGTGTTATCTGCAGCGTACACAGCACGGGGGTCAGTGATCTCGGTGTCCGTAGTTCCCCCCTTCTCCCCTCCCCCCCCCCCGGCAGGGTGCCCAGAGGGTGAGACCAGCCAGTCCCAGGGCAAGGAGAGCCTGTGGGGCTGAGATGCCCGGCGCGCTCCCAGGGGGCAGGATGTCGGCCGAGGCGGGGGAGCTCACCCAGACGCCGCTGCAGAAAGTGTGGATCCCACGCACCAGCAACCGGCTGCACCAGCGCAGGGGGTGTGAGTGGGGGGTGGCCTGTGGGGGAGCTGGGCAGGGACTGGCTGGCTCAGGGGGGCAGGAATGGGGCATTGGGCCTGTCCCCTCTAGGGGGCACAAGCCCCTGGCTGGCTAAGGGAGGTGGGGAATGGGGCCCAGGGCCTGTCCCCTCTAGGGGGTTCAGGGCCCAGGGTGTGGGGGTTTGAGGGTGCAGCTTGATTGGGGATCTGGCCTCTAGCCCCCCATCCCTGTTGCTGTGTCCGTTCTCCCCCACACAACAGCCTCCGTGCCTCAGTTTACCAATTCGCCCACTATGGTGATCCTGGTGGGGCTGCCGGCCCGTGGGAAGACCTATATCTCCAAGAAGCTGACCCGCTACCTGAACTGGATTGGGATCCCCACAAAGGGTGAGGTGGGGGGTAGGCTGGGGTTCAGAGGAGATGGGGGGGTGGAGATTGGGGTGGCTGGAGTCTCTAAGGTGGGGTCTGTGGAGCTGGCAGGGACAGAGATCTCTTGGGGGAGGGAGTTGTGGGGCGGGACAGGGGAGTTCTCTGATTGTGGTGGCAGGAAATTAGAGGGCAGGGTGGGTGTCTGTCGGGGGGCTGTGGGGAGGGGTATGGGGACCCCGGCCCACCCCCCACTCTCCCCGCAGTGTTCAACGTGGGGCAATATCGCCGCGAGGCTGTGCAGACCTACAAAAACTATGAGTTCTTCCGGCCAGATAACCAGGAAGCCATGCACATACGCAGGTGAGGGGGTGAGCTGGGGGCACTGCAGGAGGGAAGCTCGTGGCGCTGGGGGTGACTCCGGCTGGGGGCACTGCTGGGGGGAAGTTTGCAGCACAGCTTGGGGGAGGGGTGGGGTATGTGTAAGGGTCTCACCCCTCCTCTCCCCCAGGCAGTGCGCTCTGGCTGCTCTGAAGGATGTCCACACTTACCTGAGCCGTGAGGAGGGACAGGTCGCGGTAAGAGGGACCCTCCCCCTTCCTCCCCCCGCCAGGCCCATGGGCCCATCTACCCTGGCCTCATGCCTGCTCCTATGTTCAGGTGTTTGACGCCACCAACACGACACGGGAGCGAAGGAACATGATCCTGCAATTCGCCAGTGACCATGGCTACAAGGTAAAGGGGGGGGCATGGGTCTGGCCCAAGGCACTGCTATAGGGAAGTCCACAGTACTTCGGGGGCCTTGGTTGTGGGCTCCCCTGGGGGGAAGCTCACAGTGCTGGGGAGGGGTGTCCGGGGGGAAATGTTGGGGAGGGGTGCCCAGCTGGGGGCACTTTCAGGTGGGAAGGGCGCAATGTTGGGGGGGGCGGGGGGCACTGCTGGGGGAAGTGCGCAGTGCTGGGCTCTCCAGTCTCACTGTCAGACCCACTTTAACCCCCCTCCCAGGTGTTTTTCATTGAGTCCATCTGTGATGACCCTGATATCATCGAGGAGAACATCACAGTGAGAGAAACACCCCCCCCACCCCCGTCGGGACCCTTGCAGCCCGGTGTGTCCCCCCACACACACGGGGGGAGGTGGGTGGCCCGGGGTGTCCTCCCACCACACACCCACCCAGGGGGAGGAGGGTGGCCCAATATGTATGTCCCCCCACAGGCACACACACCCAGGGGGAGGCAGGTGGCCCAATGTCTATGTTCCCCCCCCCCCCCACACACACACACCCAGGGGGAGGCGGGCGGCCCCGTGTCCCCCCCCACACACACACACGCCCAGGGGGAGGCGGGCGGCCCCGTGTCCCCCCCCACACACACACACGCCCAGGGGGAGGCGGGCGGCCCCGTGTCCCCCCCCCCACACACACACGCCCAGGGGGAGGCGGGCGGCCCCGTGTCCCCCCCCACACACACACACGCCCAGGGGGAGGCGGGCGGCCCCG